TATTTTTATTTCCGTTTTAGTTTAGTTTGTTAATTTTAGAGCTTCAACTTAAACCTTTATATTTTAAATTTTCATTTTAATTTAATTTTTTTATTTTGTTTTTAAGTTTTAGTTTAATACTGTTATGTGCTTTTGTAATTTTTATTAGTTTTACTTCTTCAAAATACTTCTATTTAATTCATTTTTATTTCAGTTTTAGTCTAGTTTCTGTTAAGTTTAGTGCTTTAAATTTTGCAGTTATTTGCAAAGGCTACATTTCTAATTTTTGTTTAGAATCTTTTCGTTTCAATTCATTTCAACTTCATTTCAATTAACAAAACTTATTTTGAATTTTTTTAAAAACTAAGTGTGAGGCAATAACCGAAGATGTTTACATGGGAAGTTGGTGCATTAATTACAATTGATCTAATCACTGATACGTGCACAAACATGCCCTCTCCTGCTTTAGCCGTATATATCCCATCATCCTTTGCAGCACTCAGATACCATCACTCCTCCAGGCAAAGGAAATGACTTGACATGTGATTGAATGCGATAGATAAGATGAAAATGACAAGGTTACGAGTTTAAGCAGGAATTATCAGATGAAAGCACACTCTCATTCATCAGCTCATCATCCTCCCGTTACACTAAGAAGAGGCTGCATACAGGAAGTAGAGCTGGGAAACAGGAAGTAGAGCTGGGAAACCGAGAGGAAAACATAAGCACTAAATAACCGTGTTAATGTTGTAAAATCAATCAATTCTGAAACTAAATTCAATTTCAGCTGTAAAGCAGCTTTACAGAAGGTAAGTGTCATAATTCAGCTCAATTCAGCTTGATTTTTGCTCTCATCCAATAGTGTCCATGCCGTTAAATTGATAATATTACTATTATATATTTTATTTGATGCATTTATAATGATTTTTGAGGATTTGAGACACTAATCAGTCACCAACAACAACAAAAAATGATTTTTCTCCCCTCCCTTTTAAGTGTTATTTTGTTCTCCCAACTATGCACGACTATACAGTTAGTTAAATGATATTATTTGCATTTATCATTGTTTGTTCCCTGCTGTTCGTGACCCATCAGAACAGATCGGCAACCCATGTTTTGCAAAACTCAAAATGTCAGTGTGGGGAATATGCATAAGTGCATCGACTCGTGTCGTTCCAGGTAAATGAATATAAGATAGCACTAAATATGTGCTAAATAAGAGTTAATAGTAGCAGTGCAACTAATGCTGGTCTACAAATGGAAATGTGCTGACTAATGGACTGGAGCAGCTCAAACATGAACTTTTAATTACCTATATTTGAGTTAATCGTTGCATGAATAAGGCCAGGAATAGTTGGACTAACACTTCCATTTCATGGAAACACCTCTATTTATTATCCGTGGAAGAATGTAAGTCAGAAAGTTTGTAGCAGCATGAGCGGATGATGACAAAATGTTCTGTTTTGGCTAACTAAAGTCTTTGTCTTAGGAATAGCATCACTAACAGACTTCTCTATCTTGTGTTTCCTCAAACATAATGATTCTCGGCATTTCCTCTGGCTGCTATTTCCAGCTCAAGGCACTGATTGTTTTCCATTTGACATCCCGAGTGTAAGACGAGATGATGCTTACCTGTTCTTTCACCTGCCTGACCATGCAAAAACTAGAAGTGACGCATGCTGGAGCTCTGGCTGCATTAAACCTTGTGCTATTGTTCTTGCAGACTGTCTCACCTCGAGGCAACATGAACTGAACCCAGTTCAGGAGATCATGAGATCCAATAGCTTGTGATCCAAAGCCCTTGAGTCATTGCAACAGCCAAACGTTGTAGGAAATGCAAACTATAACACAAAACTTGACTAAATGAGAAATGCATTGCAAAAAAATGGTGTTGCATTATAGTTTATGGAACTAAGGGCCAGATTTACTAAACAGGGCATATTAGCGTCAGATCGCAATCCTATAAAAGCACAGATGGGAGTGGAAATTTCTACTGACAATGCACAAATTAAAGAATACAGATAATTTCCATAATGACCAACACAATCCACCCAGAGCAGCCAAATTAGCGCAGGGCCGATGGTAATCAACACAGGCACAAAACAGCTTAAGACATGCTTTTTGGCTTTAAATAATGGCGCAAATACTAGTAAACCGACTGCTGCAAACCTTAGTAAATCAAACATTCTCCTCCCATAAATGCTGCATGTGAAAGTGAAACTTCTATAAATGCATATGCAAAGATCAGCCTCAAAAATTAACTGCCTTTTCATTGATAATGTTTCATTGTGTCTTTAGTAAATCCAGACAGTAGTTTTAAACGCCAAAAGAGGGTTTGCACATGTGCAAGCTGTTAGTAAATCTGAATCGTGACTAAAATTAGTCTATAAGATGCAATAACCAGGCTCAGATGGAACATGTCTGTGTGTTAAAAGGCCATGAACTACCACACCAGTGAAACATTTCATACATACTTCGGCTCACAAAGCTGAAGATCATATTCTCATCACTGCTTAAACTACTTGTGCTATTTAGTATTAAACCACCAGACTCAAAGCAAAGCAAACGACTGTGCTGACCACTGTAAAGTTGCATTAAGTCTAAGGAAAAATAAACACTACATTGTTGGGAGAAAAATGGACATGCTCCGGGCCAGACTGACCGGTTCTATTTATAGTTATTCTGTACAGACTTACACTGACTTCAACCGTTTTGATTCATGTTATAGTTATTCTGAGGACACAAAGCCAAATCCGAATATCCAAATCCTTCAGCACCTGCCGTGTTCTGCGATCACAAATCATATGAAGCACATTTGTCCCTGATTTCATTTGAATTAGTGACAGAACGTGAAAATTGCATCAGCCGATAATCATGACTGATTTGCCAATTAACAGAAGCGCTGCTCTCGCTTCTATTAGCTCTAAACCTTACCAAATGCATAATAATTTCTTTTTTTTGTAAATTACATTTTTACACACACACAAATCAAACATTCTCCTCCCATAAATGCTGCATGTGAAAGTGAAACTTCTATAAATGCATATACAAAGATCAGCCTCAAAAATTAACTGCCTTTTCATTGATAATGTTTCATTGTGTCTTTAGTAAATCCAGACAGTAGTTTTAAACGCCAAAAGAGGGTTTGCACATGTGCAAGCTGTTAGTAAATCTGAATCGTGACTAAAATTAGTCTATAAGATGCAATAACCAGGCTCAGATGGAACATGTCTGTGTGTTAAAAGGCCATGAACTACCACACCAGTGAAACATTTCATACATACTTCGGCTCACAAAGCTGAAGATCATATTCTCATCACTGCTTAAACTACTTGTGCTATTTAGTATTAAACCACCAGACTCAAAGCAAAGCAAACGACTGTGCTGACCACTGTAAAGTTGCATTAAGTCTAAGGAAAAATAAACACTACATTGTTGGGAGAAAAATGGACATGCTCCGGGCCAGACTGACCGGTTCTATTTATAGTTATTCTGTACAGACTTACACTGACTTCAACCGTTTTGATTCATGTTATAGTTATTCTGAGGACACAAAGCCAAATCCGAATATCCAAATCCTTCAGCACCTGCCGTGTTCTGCGATCACAAATCATATGAAGCACATTTGTCCCTGATTTCATTTGAATTAGTGACAGAACGTGAAAATTGCATCAGCCGATAATCATGACTGATTTGCCAATTAACAGAAGCGCTGCTCTCGCTTCTATTAGCTCTAAACCTTACCAAATGCATAATAATTTCTTTTTTTTGTAAATTACATTTTTACACACACACACACATATATGCATATACTGTAAATGCTGTGCATATACCGTTGTATGGCATTGCATATGCATGCATATATATATATATATATATATGCATGCTGCATATGCAATGCCATACAACGGTACACACATACTGTATATTTTGGTCAGTTTGCTGTCTGCATTAAATTTTATTTACAAAAGTGATTTTATATACATAAGCATATTAAACAAGTGTCTACGTTAATGTTTCAAATAACTTGTCAAATTCCCATCGTCATTCAGCGAAACACATACAGTATATTTATGTAAATTAAACTTACTCTGACCTCTACTTACTAAAATATATAAAAGAAAAAAATACTAACATCTATTATATTTTGAATGATTTAAAACTTATAGCTGACAAATGGGTAAAACCGAGTGGTTTGAAGGATATAGTGGCAAAAATTGGTAAAGATTTTAAATTCCAATGAATTATCGTTTTGTGGGCTGCAGTCTGATCCTTAAATAGTCTTTCAATGTCATCAAATGATTATTGTTCTAAAAATGCCTGACAAGATTTTTTTTGGTATATGAACTATTGTTTCTTTCTTCCATGTCTCATAAATAGAGGTGTTGTATTTTTCCATGCAATGGCTATTTGGCTATATGCACAATTCATTCAAATATGCATAATTAAATGTCCATGTTTGAGCTGCTCCATTAGTCAGCAAATCGGCAACTCTACACTTCAAACTGCTAAACATTTTTAATATCATATCATCGTATTATTCTGGCAACCCTGTTCTCTAGTTATCAGTATCGGCATCTGCCACTAAAAAAAAACTCTTATTGCTCGAACGCTACTTATACAACAGCAAAAGCATGCAATTTCATAATGTGACGATATCCACTGTACGGCATCACAAACTTCAGCACTGCTGCAAACACCAGGCCTGTCCAGGAATTTCACAGCAGCGCAGAAGTTTTCCCCAGCGCAGGCCATCCAGAGCACGCCCAGAACGGGCCCCGAGCTCACTTGGGCGACTCTTGCATGAACACAAACCCAAGTAGAGGCTCCGTGAGCATGCATTTGACCGCCGAGGCCCATCAAACTCCTCTGTGCAGCAAAGTGACATAAGAATCTCAGCAAACACACATGCAGGCAATCTGAGAGCGGATTCAAACTGACAGCTTTGACCTACAATGAGGAGAAACACAGCTCAAGCATGACACTTTATTAAAAGTAATGCAGTGATTTTATGACTCTACCTGCTTTCTCCTTTGGCATTGGAGGGCGGAGGGTGAAGAATAGTCTGGTTTTCCTCCATCTCAACCACACATTTTGTGCTGAGCTCAATCTCTGCAAGCCAAAAGTGATTAAAACTCGACTAGAAGTCATGATAAAAAAAAGTCTGAAAACAGCACTTAACGTGAATATAGAGCCACAGCAACTTCTAAAACAGATTTAATTTTGAAATAGCAATGCTTTTTGCGATTTTAAATGGTCTCTTACCTCTCCTGTTCATTGGCCGGACTCGAACCGCTACTTTTACTTTAGTATCCGACATTTTTGTTACAATGTAAGGCTTTAAAGTGGAGGAGAAAGGGGCTAGCTGCTCCGCACGGCTAGCCGAAGAATAACATGCAACTCCCCGCAAAGTCCCCCACAGAAGCGTCTGAGGTGCTTGTGCCCTGCTAAAATACTCCAACAGTCCATACCCGAGCGGGAAAAGCCAGATGAATATGAATCCAGATGAGACTGTGTTGCATTCGGGTTGAATGTGTGATCCTCCGCCGCGGGGAGAGCAGCTCCTCTCTCTCAGCCAGCCAGCAGCATCCAGACCGCCATCTTCCGCCGACTGACCCCAAAAACACACAAATGTGCAGTGTGCATGAATATGCATGAAAGAAATGGGTTGAAAAGAGACCAGATGGACCTGTGAAGCTCCCACATTGCGATATAAAACGACTGGTTACGTTAGAAACAGCCTTACCTTGAGTCATGATCAATAAACTATTAGCACTTTATCTATACGAAATGATTCCTAATGTTTAATCTGTACTTGCATTTGTTGATTTCTCCATTCAAAAAAGTACTGGCATGCAGAAACATGTGAATTAACAGCTTTATCCTTTTTTAAAAATATGATTTAATATGCCTGACTCAATTAGGTTAAATGAATAAAAGTCAGTTTTAAGTGTAAAGCTTCTGAAGACCAGTTCACATTTTACAATTGACAGTAAGAATTGGCAAATCTGATAAAAGAAACAAATGACAAAATCTAAAGAAAATGAAGACAACTGAAGTATAACTACATAAATATTTAATGCAAAATTTTTTTTAAAAGTTGATATGCCACTTTTAAAACTTTTTTTGTAAAAAGAAAAAATCTATTTACATCTATTTGTGATGACATTAGCACTATTGACTATACTTTATATATATATATATTTAAAGATATTGATATTATAATGAAATTACATATTTTTAGCATTTATAATTACATAAAGATTAAATGCAGATTAAAAATGCCACTTACTGTATGTTTTTTAAGATGGTAATATCATGGTACTTTATGTTCGTACTCCATAAAATGCATGCTCAAAAACACTTTATATATATATATATATATATATATATATATAGATACATACCGATAGATAGCGATACAGTATATGCATGTATGTATATTTAATGATATTGATGTTATAATGATGTTATATATTTTTTATCCCAATTTATTAAAAGGCCTTTTATGCTTAACCATGAATGCCTTGAAATGTTTTCTTATTTTCATACATCATATATTATTTAATGCTTCCTTTTGCACATATTCTCATTGTATGCCGCTCAAATGCAAACACTGAGCGATACTAATGCACAGTTTTTGTCATGACAATAAAGCACATTAATCAGATTTTCTCTAGTGAAAGTGCGGGTGGTTTTCACTGAGATGTGAGTTATGGTTAGAAGTGCTTTATAATATGCTGTGACGACAACAGCAGTCTAGTACGATCAAGGGAAATGGAGCAGATTATGGGATTCCCCTATGGGTTGCTTTAATCTCTGTGGATTAAACATTAAGAATTCATCAAATAATGTATTGCATGCAGTTTTAAATAAGCATACACCCATAAGAGTTACACTGGGTGTATATTAATTTAAAATGACTTTTGATTAAATGTTGACCTGTAGCAACTTTGTAAAGTCATAGTTTGTGCCAATGACTGCACAGTGGTTCCCAAACATGTTCACCTATTTTAGGTTCCAGGATCCCATGCAAAATAACCATTTGGTTATTATTAAGGCACTGAATGACATGCCAGTTCATAAATAATGGAACCAGTGCGTGAATTTCTTCAGCAAGGAATATTAGGGATGACTGACATACAAATCATTGAATTCAGATGTTCCTGTGTTTATAAATCAAAAGATAACCATAAGAAAAGAATACTTGACAAGTGAACTTTAGATTTGACAAACTTGATTATGCAAAATTACTTACAGTTTACGTATTAGAGCTATAAGTCAAGGACAATCCCACTGGAGCAACCTGGAATTGAGTGCATTGATAAATACATTATACAATAAAATGCATTGCACTGCATTTTGTACACTCTTGTATATTCTCATTCATATATGTGACCCTAGACCACAAAACCAGTCATAAGGGTCAATTTTTCGAAATTGAGATGTATGCATCATCTGAAAGCTGAATAAATAAGCTTTCCATTGATGTATGGTTTGTTAGGATGGGACAATATTTGGTCGAGATACAACTATTTGAAAATCTGGAATCTGAGGGTGCAAAAAAATCTAAATATTGAGAAAATCATCTTTAAAGTTGTTCAAATGAAGTTCTTAGCAATGCATATTACTAATCAAACATTAAGTTTTGATATATTTACGGTAGGAAATTTACTAAATATCTTAATGGAACATGATCTTTACTTAATATCCTAATGATTTTTGGCATAAAAGAGAAATCAATAATTTTGACCCATACAATGTATTGTTGGCTATTGCTACAAATATCCCCCAGCGACTTAACACTGCTTTTGTGCTGCAGGGACACATATAGTGTAATATATCATGAGTACTTATGGCATGCTTACAAGTCAAATTCCCAATTTGCCCAATAAACATGAACTCTATTAACCTTCCATTTATTAGCTTTGAGCTTCAGCCACAATGCCACCAAAACTCAACTCACAAACATGCACCAAAATCCCATAATCAGTCCACCTAAAGAACAAACATGGATTGTAATAAAAAAAAATCTATTTTTAAGCGCTGGGCAGTAACTGATTACATGTAATCTGGATTACGTAATCTGATTCTATAAATTAAGTACTTGTAACTAGATATTACATCTTTAAATACTTGTAATGACTGCAGTTAATTTTTTAATGATTACATACATAATCAGTTCACCTAAAGAACAAACATGGATTGTAATAAAAAAAATATCTCTTTTTAAGCGCTGGGCAGTAACTGATTACATGTAATCTGGATTACGTAATCTGATTCTATAAATTAAGTACTTGTAACTAGATATTACATCTTTAAATACTTGTAATGACTGCAGTTAATTTTTTAATGATTACATATTATTCACACAATAACAATAAAGTATTCATAATGTATTGATTCTCTTTAATTCTTCTTTTTCATCTTTTACATGTTCCCTTTTTAATATAGCCTGCCGCTTATATATATACTCAGAAAGTCTGGACATTCACATAAAGACCACTAGTCAGGTGGCCACGCAGCATCTGACCACTGGATTTACAAAAATCATTTCAATTTTAAACATTTCAACATTGCATCAACTACTAACGAACACATTAATTTTAATTGAACTATCACTCAGTGGGTTATTGTCTTTTGAAGGCCTTTGTCTTTCAAACACATAAAAAATGCACAAATTCACATGTAATGCAAGGACTTTTTTTTGTCAGCTAAACCTCTTTCACCTAATAAATTTACTTGAAGCCCCCCTGAGATATTAAAGTCAGTGTAAAGAGAACTTTTTTTTTTTTAGCATTAAAATTTGGCTGGGTGCTTAATGACACATTTTTCTGTGGTGTGATAAACTCAGAACACACATTTAATATTGACTTTGCATGGACTTTAAGATAGTAAGTTAATAATTAAGTAACACACACAAGACATTTGCATATTCACGGTTTAAAAGTAATCAAAAGTAGTCTGATTCGATAACCTAATGGATTACATTACTAACCACAGATTTTGTCATGTACACTCTAAAAAATGCTGGGTTGTTTCAACGCAACTTTGGGTCAAATATGGACTAACCCAACTTTTGGGTTAAAAATGTAATGTAAAAATTTAACCCCACGGTTGTGTTAGTCCATATTTGACCCAAAGTTGCGTTGAAACAACCCAGCATTTTTTAGAGTGTAATTTGGAATCAGTAATGGACTACAATTGGTAAGTCTGTCTAGCAATGCTCATTTTAATAAGTTAATAATTAAGTAACAAATTGGCATATCACAGTTCAAAAGTAATCAAAAAGTAATCTGACTATTACCTAAATTATTTAATGCAATGGATTACATTACTAACCAAAATTTTGTCATGCAATTTGGAATCAGTAACGGACTACAGTTTGTAAGTAATCTACACAGCAATGCTCATTTATCACAGTACAAGTCTTCAGCGTCTGCAGTATAGACCTTGACCGCATGGTCTCCACTGTCCAAGACAGCAAGAACGTTGTTTCAACGCAACTTTGGGTCAAATATGGACTAACACAACCGTGGGGTTAAATTTTTACATTACATTTTTAACCCAAAAGTTGGGTTAGTCCATATTTGACCCAAAGTTGCGTTGAAACAACCCAGCATTTTTTAGAGTGTAATTTGGAATCAGTAATGGACTACAATTGGTAAGTCTGTCTAGCAATGCTCATTTTAATAAGTTAATAATTAAGTAACAAATTGGCATATCACAGTTCAAAAGTAATCAAAAAGTAATCTGACTATTACCTAAATTATTTAATGCAATGGATTACATTACTAACCAAAATTTTGTCATGCAATTTGGAATCAGTAACGGACTACAGTTTGTAAGTAATCTACACAGCAATGCTCATTTATCACAGTACAAGTCTTCAGCGTCTGCAGTATAGACCTTGACCGCATGGTCTCCACTGTCCAAGACAGCAAGAACGTTCAACAATCACGTCTCCATTTCTTTCAAAAGCCACCGCAGATATAACCAAACTCAAAGCGTTCTTCAAGTGAAGACTGAAACCGTCCACCTGCGTCAAAGGAACGAAGTCACTATTGAACATCCTCAGCGTGAAGCTGCTCTGAAGTCGCTCCATGATTGTGATGTTTCCCGAAGCTCTGCAAGAAGCAACCGAACGCGTTTTCGTCAATTCTTTTAAAACGACTAGGTTCGCTAAAACCACGCCAGAAGAAAAGTCCATTACGACTTAGGCTTCCCATCTGAGCGTCGGTCACAAAAACACATCCACGGTTGTCTACATCTACACCCCACGGCAGTCGAAAACATTGGACGGTCGCTAAAGAAGTGAGTGACTTTGAGTGACTGGTCACCAGCATCAGTGACCAAAACATGTCTAGTTTTGGTCAACGCAACATCTAGTGTGTAACAGACGTTGGACAGCCATCCAAAGGCGTTCACTAAAAACGGCATCGTGCACCACCACAATCTGTCCTAATGTTTCGTCCACAGCCACTCCAGTAGGGTTGACCATTGTCCCCTATCCTCCGAAGGCCATACGGAGACGTAACGTCCCCCAACTCGAGCTTTCAGCCCATTCTTGGTGATTAGCGGACAATTTGGGACGAGCATCAGACAGCAGAAGCTCTTGGAGATCGGTGAGCAGTGTTGGGGGAGTAACGCGAGTTACGTAATCAGATTACTTTTTCAAGTAACTAGTAAAGTGACGCATTACTTTTTAATTTACAATACAATATCTGAGTTACTTTTTCAAATAAGTAACTCCAGTTACTTTGTTTTCCCATTCATTGACTGACAGCTCTCCTGTCCCCGTGTTGAGAGAAATCAGGAGTAAGTGAGTAAGAGGCGCTGTGTGAACAAGAGAATAAATGTGAACATGCATTATCTCACTTGCACAAAAACAGATCCAGTATTCCTCAAAATGAATGAAAGCAGTGCAATGCAACTAAACGTACTAAATAGCACAAATATCTTTTATGCATTTAAAGGGCCCCTGAGATGCGTAGAAACATGCAGCTTTACTTTAAGTCGGCGCAGACCACAAAATGTATCGGAGCTATTTGAATTCTACACAGAATGCTATATTTTACAGCAATATAGATGAGATTGTGGCTGGCATACCCTGCGGCTTTATGGAGCTCAACGGCTCTGAGCGGCTCTAGCCCAAGCTGTGATATAAACTAATGCTATTGGCTATTTTAAAAAGGGGCGGGGCTGCTTGATATGTCCCGCCCTGTCTTCCTGTTTCAGTTCAAATGACGTCAACACATCTCAGGGGACCTTTAAAATAAGCATGACATTTGTTTTTCTTTCTTTTTGTTTCACTGCTGAAGAGTGTTGAGTTTTCTTCTCCTGCATTCTATGCTTCATGCAATCCAGAATGGCTAAGGTGCATTCGTTTAAAAAAAAAAAAGTGTGAAAGGGCCTTTACATTAGCCAAAAATAAAAAAATTTATATTAAAAACAAATGAGCAAGCCCAGCCCAAATGAGAAAAAGTAACGCAAAAGTACCGTAACGCATTACTTTCCATAAAAAGTAACTAAGTAATGCAATTAGTTACTTTTTTTAGGGTGTAACGCAATATTGTAATGCATTACTTTTAAAAGTAACTTTCCCCAACACTGTCGGCGAGTGCACGACATTCGGAGGAGCTGCCAGCGTCCCACAGTTTTCTACAGAAAGGACTGGACGGGGTGGGACAAGGTGCAGATGCATTTGAGATCAAGGGAAAACCTCTCAAAACACACTTTGCACTCCAGCAGGTTAGACCAGATCTCTGTTAGGATGTCTTCTGCTCTCATATGTGGTGTGACGGGAGTCTCGGACATCTTGTGCTTTATATAAATAAATGCTGGCCTAATGATTGGCAAAAAGGGTTGAAGGGATGAGGGAGAGCTTTAGACAGCAGACTGCAAGGGATAAACATGATCATGTGACTGTATAAACATGAACCGAGAGTCTGTAGCCCTCGTGTGGTGAGATGGCAAAATCACTTCATATTTCAACAGCTGTTTTATATAAAGCATTCAACATTTTTTACTATTACTAATTGCATTTTCTAAAGTCACACATGCACATACAAATCTAGATATATTTAATTGACCTTTTAATCCATATCATCTATAATGAAGATGTTTTAATGTCACAATTACAGCTGTGATTACACAAAAATATAATTTTGTCTTTATCTTTAATAGGAATTTGAAGTAAAAGTACTTGAATCACACGAAGAAGAAATGTCTGGATTCAGTTTCACCTCAAAATTAAGAGAAAAAAAACAGGAGACATTATATTTTGCATAAAAGTTATATATATATATATATATATATATATATATACACTATAATGTGACAATCATAAAATTGTATAAAAGCAATTCAAATCTATATTATTATTATTTATAATAGTCATAATAATTAATTAACATAAAAAAGTGGGAATTTTTGGCAAAAATAAAATACTTTATATATTCACTATAATCATAAAATTGTATAAAAACATTATAATAATTATAATAAATAAACATGACAAAAGTGGCAATTTTTGGCATAAATAAAATAGTCTATATATTCACCATAATCATAAAATTGTATAAAAGCAATTCAAATCTTTATTTTTAGTAATAATAATAATAAGCATTACAAAAGTGAGAATTTTATATTTTGCATAAAGAAAACTGTCTATATATTCATTGTGACGTTATTCAATATAATCCTGAAATTCTGTAATAGCAATTAAAATCTATAATATTATCATAATTAGTAATATTAACTGTTACAAAAGTAAGAATTTTATATTTTGCACAAAGAAAATAGTCTACATATTCGCTGTGACATCATTCACTATAATAATAAAATTGTATAATAAAATAAAAATGTATTTTATTATCATTAATATTAGTCAAGTCAAGTCACCTTTATTTATATAGCGCTTTTAACAATACAGATTGTTTCAAAGCATCTGTACAGCATTAATTAGGAAAATATTGTGTCAATAATGCAAAATGATAATAGCAAACACTAATTTTTCAGTTAAAGGCACAATATGTAATTTTTTGCCGCTAGAGGGCGCGTATTCAAAAATTTAGTGGGTAAATGTCCTTAATTGTCCTGGAAATTGCACAACAGAGCACGGTCCTGAAATAGGCTTTATGAAAGATGAGCTGGATGTCCTGACAGGTTTTGTGAGGCAGTACACGTGTCTATTTCAGTCCGGTGTGTGATCTGTCTGATATATCTGAAGCTCAGATCACAGCTGAGGAGGAGAGAAACACTCACACACTCACATCAGTTATATCCACATCTCCTCCAGCGGTTCAGAAACTATCCGCCATACTTCACACATAACTGACCTTTCATACCAATATGATTGTGATTTAATGTTAAAGCACACACTACTTCATCTATTAGCTCAGTTCATTATCATGTGAACAAATCGAACAAAGAACATCTGAGAGTTTGTCCTAACCAGTCACAGTATTTTATTGGTTGTAACTACTTCTGTAAAATAAATAAAATATATATTGTAAATGATTCTATAAATTATTTAAATGATTATAGAAAAATACTAAATAACTAGTATTGTATAATTAATGTAGTAATATTATCATTATGATCAAATATTTATGAATTTATTATTAAATATATATTTTATAATTAATTATAGATATTTTATAAATATAAAAATAATAATAATTATTATTGGTTGTAACTACTTCTGTAAAATAAATAAAAAATGTGTGTATATATTATATTTCTTATTATTATAATATATATATAAATTATTTAAATAATTTATTATAGAAAACATTTTTTATTTTATTAATAATAAATAATAACAACTTATTGTAGAATTAATATTATAATAATAATATTATCATTATGATAAAATATTTATAAATGTATCATTAAATATATATTTTATATACAAATAATAATAATTATTATTGGTTTTAACTACTGTAAAATAAAAAAATGTTTGTATATTATATTAAATATATATATAAAATGAAATATATATGATAAATTATTTAAATAATGTATTATAGAAAATAATTTACAATATTTAATGATAAATAATAATAATATTGTATAATTAATATAATAATATCATAATTATAAATATTAAAATTAATTTATTATAAAATATACATTTAATGATTTTATGATATTTTATAAATATAATAATAATCTACATACAACTGTATATTAAACATCATCTAATGAACATTTTTGTTTCTGAGCAGACAATCAAATGCCTTATTGTGTCGGCAGAAAAGCCCAAAACCAAATTAATAATACAGAAAAATACAGGAAAATACAAAATCACAAGAAACAGATGAAATTTAATCGTAAAGTTCAGTTACATCCCATGTCAGCTGTGAGCAAACAAGCATCATATATTGAAAAGCTGCAGAGTTCAGTCACGTTATGCCATTCTTCACAGAAAACGAGCGGTTTAATATCACTGAAAGACACTGAATCATTTACAATTTACGTGAGATGCAAATATCAGGACAAAAAGGCATTGAAATGTTTCACAGCGGCTGTACAAACACACAACACAAGAGTTTGGCAAATGGATGTGAAGCATCACGGGACGCTCAGACCGTCACATTAATACAGAGACAACACAATGAATTCACAGGACGTGGTGTTCGATTACGAACACTAGTGATGCCACGATAAACATAATAATCAGAAATGTTTCTCGAGCATTAAATCAGCATATTATACTGATTTCTGAAGATCATGGACTTTTTCAGCTTTGAACATATGCTGTATATTATTTGAAATCGTGATATTATTTCACATGTATTTGGTGTTTTTGATCCAATAAATGCAGCCTTGGTGAGCAGAAAGCATTCAAAAATCTTACAGACCTCAAACTTTACATTTACATCACACACACACAAAAATAAAAAAAACATGCACCAGCAAAATGCACAAAAAGAATGCGTTTTAAGAGGTAAAAAGGGTCCATTCTGATTTCATGTTGACTTTAAAATACATGATAGTTTGTAGACGCATTATGATTTGTGACCCTTGAGCTCAAAAGCAGTGTTGAGTCGCTGGGGGATATTTGTAGCAATAGCCAACAATACATTGTATGGGTCACAATTATACATTTCTCTTTTATGCCAAAAATCATTAGGATATTAAGTAAAGATCATGTTCCATGAAGATATTTAGTACATTTCCTACCGTAAATATATCAAAACTTAATGTTTGATTAGTAATATGCATTGCTAAGAACTTCATTTGAACAACTTTAAAGATGATTTTCTCAATATTTAGATTTTTTTGCACGCTCAGATTCCAGATTTTCAAATAGTTGTATCTCGACCAAATATCGTCATATCCTAACAAACTTATCCTAACATTTATTCAGCTTTCAGATGATGCATAACTCTCAATTTCGAAAAATTGACCCGTATGACTGCTTTTGTGCTCCAGGGTCACATATGATAACATAATGTGAAAAATCGTCTGCATACAGTAAAATACACCGTTGAAAACATCTGTGACATAGATTACAGCACTGTTACGAGTCACGCATGCGACTGAAAACACCATGACGCACAGCACTGCTTGGGATCTCACCTGGTTAACCAGTCTCTGAAGTTCAACAGGTGAAGTCAGCTGACTAACTAAACACAGTATTGCCTTTTCAAAGAGCAAGACCTGAGCCAATCTCACCCTTCATAATCTCATTCATCTGATGCTCCCTCCGTTCACAGGAGCCACACGTGTGCAAATCCTTTCAGAGTCGGGCTTATTTCTCCACGCCGTTGATGCTTGTGTTATTTACAGAGTCCCTCCGTTTCCTGGCAGAGGAGGAAGTCGTGCTGTCCGTCTCAAACTCTCCTACAGCACAAATGCATTACAGTGTGGCAGAAAACACTGGCGCACATGTTTGAGTTGCATAATGCATGCATGCATGCTAACAAAGATCTATAGGCCAAAATAACTGGACATGTTCCCAAATGCATAATGATAGTTTACAGTTTCTGCAGGATACTGTGCATAGCATGCAAACATATTATATGCATTGACTAAAATATACATTAACTATACTATATTTATATTATAGTCAATATACATTAACTGAAATAAAATATATTAAATAAAATTTGAACATTTTATTTCAGCTAATTGCTAAAGCAAAAACAAACAAATAAATATATTTAAAAAAAATACTAAAACTTGAACTAAAATGAAAATACAAAAATAACTAATTCAATATATTTAAAAAAAATCTAATAAAAATGACAAAAAAATTACTAAACTTTAAAATGAAAATGAAAGACATAAAAATAAAAACTAATTTTAAAATATTTAAAAACAATATCTAATAAAAATGACAAAAAACAACAAAATTACTAAAATTGTCAAATTAAACAAAAAAGGAAAATACGAAAATAAAAAATGATATTTAATAACAATAAAAAATTAATTCTGTCGAATTAAAATGAAAAATGCAAAATATCGAATTTTTTAAATAATCTAAAATTACTAAACTTTAAAATTAAAATTAAAATACAAAAATAACGAATTCAATATATTTAAAAAAATCGAATAAAAATGACAAAATAACAACAAAATTGCTAAAAACTTTAAAATTAAAATGAAAGATATAAAAATATTTTAAAACAATATTTAATAAAAATTACAAAAAACAACAAAATTACTAAAATTGTCAAATTAAACAAAAAAAATTTAAATACGGAAATAAAATGATATCTAATAACAATTAAAAAATGTTATTCTGTCGAATTAAAATGAAAAATACAAAAATAAAAACATTTCAAAATTTAAAAAATATCTAATAAAAATGTCAAAAAACAACAAAATTACTAAAACTGTCAAATTAAACTACAAAATGGAAAATACAAAATCTTAAAATTATATCTAATTAAAAAAAAAAGTTAATTCTGTCGAATTTAAAATTAAAAATACAAAAATATCTAATAAAAATAAACATTTTAATTCTGTCGAATTTAAATGAAAAATACAAAAATAAAAACCATTTCAAAATATTTAAAAATCATAATAAAACTACCTGGATGACCTTGATCTTCCATTTCAATTAATAATAGAATGCGATGTACAGTACATACAGTGTGCAGTACGCAGTAGAATTAAAAACAGCTTCCGTCTGTCTTCTGCTAGTTCACCACAAGAGATCATAACACTACAGCTTCGATTAATTACCCTAATGAACCATTAATAACCAACACATGATGCTTCTTTACCTCTGCATTCAGACACAGCGTCGTCCGGCTCCGTGTAAATACTGTCCTCACACTCCGAGAAGCTCTAGAGTCAAAATATCACATGATTTACAGCTCAAAGCCCTAAAGACCGAACACTGTGTGGACACTGTAAACATCACTTTTATATTTGCAGTCTCAACTATACCAACTCAGGATCTCGGTTGCTGAATAAATGCAGTTGTTTTAATAGAGAAACATTATTGCAATCTGGAATTAGGAATTTCACTGTTATATTTGTTTTCAGTTTTCATAATGTAGACCGAGAGAGTGTATATGCAAGTCTTTGATATTAATTTATATGATAAATAGCCTATAATAAACCAATAAACTAGAGGAGGTCAAATAAACCATGTGCATGAGTTTGATTGATATGACATTCTGTTGATTTGTGCTTATTGGTGAAAGTGCAACACTTCTAATGCAGTGTAAATCATTAAAGTTGACTTGAGAAAGCCAGCTTACTGATCTACTATTTAGCCTTCTTCTTCTGAGCCAAAATTTGAACTGCATCTCCTCCTAGACCTTTAAAGCTACAACCACCAAATTCGTGTCAGACCTTCAGACTGGTCTGAAGTTATTTGCTATGACTTTTCTAACTGTTCCGACTTCCGGTTTTCGTAAACCAGACTATCAAAACCACCGGAAATCCCATAGACTTTCATTGAGGGGGTGAAAACTTTTGTACAATGAGACTTATATGGTGTTTTAAGCTGTCTATTGCTATAGCAAAGCTTAACAACTCCCTACTGAAAAAAATGGTGGGATGCTTTGGCTGGTCTCCCAAGCTGGTTTTAAAGTGGTTTTGGCACCTTTTTGAGCTGGTCAGGCTGGTCTTAACTGGTCAAGCTGGGAGATCTGCTAAAAGAACAACCAAGTTTAAACCAGCTACTTTCAGCTTAAACCAGCTAAGACCAGACAACTAGCCTAAGCCGGTTTTAGCTGGTTTTATCAGCAGGCTTTTTGCTAAATCAGCAGGTTTTAGCTGGTTTCTAGCTGATTTTTTTACTAAATCAGCTGGTTTTAAGATATATTTGACTAATTCAGCTGATTTTACTTGGTTTTAGCTGGATTTTTTTCATTCATGTTACCAATTTGTTAAATCACGTTAAAACATGTTAGCAACACGCTAGCAGCATGCTAATCATACTAGAAACTTGCTAGCAAAATGCTAGTAACTTGCTAATAATGCTAACAACATGCTAGTAACATGCTAACCATAATAGAATCATGCTAGTAACTTGCTAATCATGCTAACAACATACCAATAATGCTAGCAACATGCTAATCATGCTAGAAACATGATAGTAACTTGCTGATTATGCTAGAAACATGCTAACAACATGTTAGTAACTTGCTAATCATGTTAACAACATGCTAGTAACATGCTAATAATGCTAGAAGCATGCTAGTAACTTGCTAATCATGCTAACAACATGCTAGTAAAATGCTAATCATGATAGAACATGCTAGTAACTTGTTAATCATGCTAGCAACATGATAGTAACATGATAATCATGCTAGTAACATGCTAGTAACATGCTAGTAACATGATAATCATGCTAGTAACATGCTAACTATGCTAGAAACAGGCTAGTAACATGCTAACTATGCTAGAAACAGGCTAGTAACATGATAATCATACTAGTAACATGCTAACTATGCTAGAAACATGCTAGTAACTTGTTAATCATGCTAACAACATTCAGACTTTAATCTTTCAAACTATTTTAAACTGAAAACCGTCAAACTTTTACAACTTTTTAAAAACTTTAAAACAATAAACTTTCTGGCCTGACTTTCTCAAGCCAACTTCAAAGTTTGTCTATGAACTTTACTATCTAGTTGCAATTATAATTTTGAGCAAAATAATCAGTTTAACCATTATACAGCATGACGAAAAAGTTTTGATCGACTAAAACGCTCAGACATTTAGTCGACTAAGACTTGACTGGACAAAAACAGGACAGTATGATAATAACTAAAAAGCACATTTGACACAGGACTAAGACGGCTGACGAAATGAAGGGATCAGGAAGAGGAGTGATTGAGTAAATGACGACGCACCTTCTCTCGGGGCCCGTAGTTCTCAGCGTACCACACCATCCCATACAGACACAGGAACGTGATGAAAGCCTTCAGACACAAAGACGCATCAACTCCACACGAAAACAACTATTTAGAGACAATCTCCTCCCACAGCTGCCAAGAAAAGCTCTGTAGTGCTGAATGAGCGCAAATCAAACAATCGCAGTGATGCAACGTACAGCTGAGAGTAGGGCTGCTCGATTACGATTAAAGAGGTTGCCATGACATCTACATTTAGAGATTTAGAGAAATTTCGCAATTCTCAACACCACAGCAGAATACTACGGTCGAGATACTAGACTGATATTAGTTATATTAGTTAAAAAACTAAAAAAAGGTCAGTAATATAAAAATTAAAAAAAGCAAAGGACAAATACAATTAGAAAAAAAGATACAAATGAAACAAACAGTGCATTAAGTTTTTTATGCAAGTCTAAAGTATTTAGCTAACAGCTACTACAGAAACTGAATAATCGAATGCAAAATAAAACTTCCTTCGTTTCTTATTAAAGCTACAAAAGTCCTTCAGTCGAGAGCAGTGAGTGATTTTCTCTGTCTTTTGTTGTTTGATTAATATTAATCTCACAGTCAGCAGCAGGAATATTAGGCTGCTGTCACTTTAAGAGCTGCACGGATCCAATTTACTGTTAAGCACATATTCTCATTCTCAACTGTTTACGTTCACTTATTACATAACCGATGAGGGTTTATGTGATTAATAATCACCAAGTGCCACATTTTGACACATTTTTGCATGTATTTGACCGTTTAGGCGCGCACCTTAAGCTAAAAGTTGACTTTACAGTCCGTGTTCTGTTCCGTCGCACGCACAGAAATCCTCCTGAGCAACAGCGATAGTTCTCTTTCGTGCTTTTAAAAACATGAATAAATCTAATCAGCTTTAATAAATCAAGCACGTCCCATTTTGCGAAAGTCACGTTATGATTTAATTGATTTGCACGTGAAATTGGGCTTTTATGGAGGAGCGAAAGCGCACCGCCTGCAATAATCTCGATTATTGTATTTTCATAATCGCTGGAGGCCGAAAATCGAAATTGAAACTGTATTTCGATGAATTGCACAGATCTATCTGAAAGTGCAGAAAAACCACAGGAACTCACCAAACACACGAGCCACAAAATCACATAGAGAACCTGCGTCTTGGAAAACAAGTCCTGTCCAAATTTAATGCAGGCCAGCGCCTCCAGGAAAGCGATCGCCCTGCAGGACAGAAAACTGAGTTTGGCATCATTTTGGAAAACACTGACAGTGCCATATTTTTTTTTCTGCGACATATATTGCAATGAAATTTCACCAGATGACTGGAATAGCTTTAGAATAAATCGGTCCAGAATTTGTCGCAAAATGCATCTGCATTAAAAAAAAATTCTAATTTTAAAAAGGCTGAGAAATTACTTTCTAATCTGATTTTTATTTTTTTTTTTTAAGGTGAAATCTTTCAGGGCTTCACAGGATTATAAAATACTATAAAATAATAATAAACATCATGATTTTATTGTGATTATTATGAAACAAAAATATTAAGCAAAAACTAAATATATTGTAGAAATATTGTAAAATAAAAAGAGCAATACAAATTATTTGATTTTACTGTAAAAAAAAAAAAAATTGATTTCTTCATTTTCAAACTCTTTTATTTTGACAGGTTGCTGGCAAATTTAAAAAAATGCAAATCAGCATATTAGATTGATTTGTAAAGGATCATGTGACACTGAAGACTGGAGTAATGATGCTGAAAATACAGCTTTGATCACAGAAATAAATTACATTTTAACAGATATTCAAATAGAAAGCAGTTATTTTAAATTGTAAAAATATTTCACAATATTACTGATTTCGCTGTATTTCGAATCAAATAAATGCAGATTTGGTGAGCAGAAGAGAATTCTTTAAAAAACATTACAAATCTTACTGATCCCAAACTTTTGACTGGTAGTG